CCCCCCCCCCCCCCCAAATGAACAAATTTTCAAGACGTTTTTGTTTTCATTTTAATTGTAATCACAACTTCCTGCCCTAATTTACATTCCCAGAAACCTGGAGCCAATTATGGAGGCGGCTGACGAAGGAACATTGGATCTGAAAAGAAATCAAATTGTGCCAACAAGTGAACACACTTCTGGTCGTAAGTGATTCCTTATTTGACAAATAGCACTGTGATCCCAATCCCTAAGGTTTAGGGGACTACACTGGTCGAAATAGACAACAGAGCCGTATCATACAGTTTATATGATAATCGATTTGGACATGTGCTATCTGATTACAATAAATAAAGAATCTACTGTTGATTTAGCAACTGCTCGCACATTCGCGATCGGGTACTGGAACAGGTGGTCAACCTTTACATAGATTACACTACCCAAGACGTGTATTACGCATGTGTTACCAAATCGGTGACGTTCACCGAGGCAAGTATGCGTGGAACAAATCAAGGGAGTCAAACTGGAATCTAGTATGAGATTGTGAAAACCCTGATCAGGAGACCTAGACACTCAGATCGTGTTTCGTTTCAGAGATGGGATAAGGGCAATGCGCAGTTAGCGACACGGTGATGCGGCTGCTTGTTGTAAAAAGGGAAGTGCACTTGTTCCTTCTCAATCTCTCTTCACAGCAGCACTGCTTTCAGCATTCTAATCCTCTCTCCCTAATCTCTTCATACAAACGGGTGCCCGAAGGACAGTAATCATCAGAATCACAACATGAGAGCACATGGGGTCAGGGGTTGCATGAATTGAAACTGCACTTGCACATTCTGTCAATAACATGAATTAGTTCAGGAACGTTTTCAGGTCGTTGACATACGAATGGTTTTCTGTCAGTGCATTTCGGTTTCCTCATCTGAACTCATTGTGTATATCGAATAGACATACTTATCATTGTGCAAAGGGATGTTGTTGGCAGATTTGAAGTTTGTATGCCGATTGTGAAAAGTTCAGCAGCCTCGGTTGGATTCGAACCCACGCACGGACGCCGCCTACGACCTGTAAGCGCACGCTCTACCAGCTGAACTATGAGGCCACACCGATAACACTAATCTTTTCACATTCGAATTACTCATCCAACTTATAGAGGCATATGGCATTCACCAGGTAGCATGTAAGCTGACTGCCCTGACAGGTTTTCCTTAGAATTCACCGGAATCCACCGATTGAATTCGAATGTGAAAAGATCAGTGATATCGGTATGGCCTTGTAGCTCAGCTGGTAGAGCGTGCGTGTACAAAGCGTAGGCGGCGTCCATGCGTGCGTTCGAATCCCTCTCGAGGCTACTGAACTTTCCACAATTGCCATACATACTAATCATTGTCATAATCTTTTATCGCTTAATTGACGATATTATTTTTCCCTTAATGTAATTGACGTGAGGTTTCAAAGTGTATTTGGTCCAGAATTGTCTGCTGTCACCCTTGTGTCGCAAAAATTCAAGTTTTCATCCAGTTTGATATCTTATGTTTTCCCAATGCGGGAGCGTGTTAATATTCGTTATCAGAAAAAATGATACCTGTAAAAAACTGAAATCAAGCATGTCGTGTTTTTCACCTAGGAAATAAATCAGGATGAGTGATTTATATGTTTGTTCGACTTGATATCTCTCCCTTCAACAACCGATTTGTTTGGTTCAGACAATACTCATGAAATTCAATGTGCCAAGTTTGTTTATTATCCGACAAGGAGCACCGAAACAGCCGTGTTTGTCATTCTGGAACCCATCCGAAGTACATACTGTTTTCTTCTCCCCAATCGGGACCCGTCTGAGCCGTAAAACCTGGCATCAGGAGCCGAAACGTTCACATGGTCTACGGCGATTACTTTGGACGCGTATATAGCTCACTTGATTAGTCAATTTACACGCTAATTTTATTGCACCGACCTTGATGTCCGCGTATTGTCATGGTCAAGAATGAAAATGGCTAATGTTTTTGATTCCTGGTGTGATCCATGGATTCATAGATTCGATCAAGTGAAGCGGTAAACACATTGGCTTTTTCCTAATTTCCTAACTATTCAAATACAGCATATTGATTTTCGTTTAAGTGAAAATAAATACGGAGGGGGGGAAGGCATAGACATTTTTTTTATCTCTGGGGGGTGTTATTTCGACATTGTTTTGTAACAACCAATCTAGTTATGGATTATATGGAATCATGTCCACTGTCAACTGGAATAGTTATTCATTTTTGGCGCCCGCGGAAAATGGTGATCTGATGTTAGAGATCATTGGGCCATCGCTTGATAACTCGTGTATTCGAACCCTGCCACCTTAGCCCTTCATCCCCATTAGATGTATTTCAGCCTTGAATTTAATGCGTTCTGCTTTCTGATTAGATGGTTTTACAGTTTCAGAGAGTCAAATTATCTCGATGTCGAAACAGTATTACAATTAACAATAGTTTTAGCCATCAAACATCTTCCGTCTCTACATGCCGCTTGCCAGATTTGCAGTGCTCCCCTAGATCTGTGACCGGATCAGATGATTCCCCGGAGGTGAAACCAACCATGAACCGACTGGCCGCAAACAACAGCATGCCACCGAGCAATCCAAAACGTTCGGAAATTGATGTAAGTAGGTCACACGCACAAGCACAGGCACACTCAGCCACTTGAAGCTTAATCAGAATTTGACACAGATTGCGGCTCCGGTATTCTCTTGTGAATGTATTTTGTCACTTAACTGCTCTTTCAGTCAAATAAATCTTTCCGATTGGGTGATTTGTTTCTCGGAACAAACAGGTTATTCACTAATCCTCCGGCGAATAGTGAACCAGTAACCAATAAGACGTGCTCTCATCGAAGAAAAATTCTATTCTTTCCGGGTACTGGTGGATGATACATACTTAAAAGTAACTTTTTTCAACCCAAGTGAGAGGACGAATAGCCGACATCCGGGGCTATAACTGGGTTGGTGGACCACTGGTAGTTCATCCAGGGGAGTTGGCCAAAAGCCAAACCAAGTGAAGGTGTGAGAACCAGCGCCCTCGCCTTTTTGATTGTGGCAATGGTCGCGGGCTGGAATGGGCATTGAGGTGTATAGGGCACCTTGGACGTTTGACCCCGTCCAAAGGACGTATGATCCGATGAACTGGACACCGACTTCCAATGGGTTGCAGTTTTCGCACACCACCCAGCTGCCTTGCGGGTCAGGCTTTGGTTAGCCGCAGGCTGCGGTTATGGATTCCTCAAGAAAATTCACCTCATTTGGCCTGGTCAATTCGGGAGTATTCAGCCCACTGCGAATCATAGAACGCTTTTCTTTTTATAAATATTATTGTCCCATGATTTGCTTGGCATACAGTCTGGCTTCAGACAAGTGTGAAATATATATATATATATATATATATACAACTTTTGAAAGCTGATAACTGAAAACGCAGCAAACTTAACCATAAAGTTAAGGGGTGGATAAATCCCTGGTCTTACCCTGGCATCACCAAAAGCTCCAGTGCATCAACTTTCAGATAACGAAGGTACTTGCGTCTTCGGTTGACTTGGTTTGGTTCTCATCCAACCTTTCTGTTGTGAAGTCGATGATTGCATCAGACTTGGGGTGTATTGAAGGGATAGTGATGCCGAAATCCTGTGCACAGCGGCGTGAACAACTCTCGAACTGGACTGGTATCACTGGCACAGTAAAGATGCATTATTTGAAAGGATTTGAGTGGCCATGTTCCAGATACACATGACGGACTGACAGGTGCTGTCACCGCGTTGTATCCATCATAGAGTTTTGTCAGAGGCCGAGAGAGAGAGAGAGCTATGCCTATAGTCAGTAGTTAGAATCGACGTGAATTAATTCTCCGTATTACAGCTTTGTTCGTGTAGAGTACAGTATAGAAAATAAATCACCCGCTCCCTTCCCGGAAGTTTCAAACCATCTTTTCCTCAATAAAGGTTGAATGATTGCTACGAGTTTAGAACAAGACACCTGCATTTCGGTGCCAACCTTGACTACAGTCTTTCCCATCTCCAGTTCGTTACCCAGTATTTCCTCTATATGTTCAATCGCTTGAGTTTGGCTCATGGAACAAAATCTATTTGTGGATTCCGATTGCTATGCACACAGTTCTTATTATCATTCTCTCTTGGGTAAGGCTTAACATCTATAATTACCGGCGAAACATAAGCGAAACTCTTGTCGTTAACAACATGCACATGCCATCAATCAATGTACATGAGAAGTGTACACGCAATCCGACTTCCGCATGACCATGTACAGTACTGGCCGATTGTGATGCACTAAAATATTTTCTTTATGATCAAAGGGAGTTTCATTATATTTATCACCCATATTAATGCTTTAGGTATGCACAATAATTTATATCTTGTCTACTTCGATGTACTTGTGTTGGTGTGAGATGGGACAAAATTGAAAAATAGTTAATTAGAGCCCGCTTCAGGCAAAATTCGTGTGACAGTAGCAGATTTGAATGTCGCTCGGTGAAACCCTATTGTGGACTTCGGAAACCATATTATATTTTCCACGAACGTGTAGTGCAATGTGGCCCAGACTTCCCATCACTTTTGCTATCCGCTCTTCGAAGAGCAGGTCTATCAGACCGGCTCCTGGTAGAGTTACTTCATTCATACGTTTCACAAAAAGTTTCATTTGGTATCCATAGAATAATACAATCTTCACTCGGATGGTGACTGCTTTGGTATGGTCCATGCGCTCAAATATACTTGATCTAATAATGACTCACTCGATTGGATTCATGTTGAATAGCTGCAGGTTTATTGAATTTAATACGATAGAACCCTTCTTATGGTAAATCACACTTCACAAAGTTGAATATTGTTTTGTAATCCCGTTTGTATCCGCCCTTGTGAAATCGAATTCGCTGAAGACCAACTCAGGTAATCTGAATGAGTAGCGCGTTGAACGCACTGTCTTCTGTGATCGCGGTCAAGTCCTCGGAGATATGCTGAACAAGCTTTCTCGACGAGGCCGTTTTCGTTTCGCTATACCGACTAGATTCAGTCCACTTCATTGATCGAAAAACCACCGTCTAGCGAAAGCCTTGTGTTAGTAGCATACGTGATTTCAGGATTTAACTTATCATATCAGTTTCCCAGGCAAAAGTAGACGTATACATTTGCAAAACGTGTACTTGTTATCATATGTTTAGTTGTATATGGTTGAATTATTAGGAATTATACCGAATTTCTAATCTGTTTTAGATGCACTCAGAAAGCACTGGTCTGTTTATTGATGGTAAACGGAGTACATCCTCGTCAAACACCACAGCTCAATCCACTCCACGTTCTCACCCGGTCTCAAAGTCCCCGAACATCGACACTGACTGTGTGCGGAGAGAAAAGCTTACGGATTTTCTACCACCGGTGCCTAAATTACCAAAGGGGTCTTTGAATCTGTCTGAGAATTCTTCAACTAATATGAGTCGTTGGGTTTCACCGCGGGACCCACGCAGTTCCCCTATGAATTCCGGACGAACGCGTGCGTCTACTGTGGCATCCAGTCTGCGGTCAACTCTGAGCCAGAAGGAGAAACTCAATGCTCGTATTCGCACTATTCAATCGACTTGTCAACACATGGATGATACGACGCCTGATTTGTGTTACATTTGCCATCAACGGCGGGCTCGTAATGTTCCGGTTGATTTGAAAGAGGAAACAAAACGTCATCAAGAAGCGGAAGATGCATTACTGGTAGCATATCAACAGATTCGTGCACAGAATTCTCTGAAACAAGAACTAGTAAGTTTTTTCGTATTGATTAGAGTTTTAACTTTATTATTTTTCTCATCTTTCATGTTACAATAACTTTAATTACCATTTGGTCAACCCAAGGTGAATTTTGATGCCGACAATTTTTAAGTTCCCAATGAACAGTTCTAAATTTATTCATTTGAGCTTATCAGCCCTCAGATGTCTGCTTTCTGCATTTATTTTTTTTCAACACGAAGCCAGTTACACAGAAACTGCAATTACATCACAACATACGCAGAAAAAATCTGTAGCATGTTTTCATATGTTTTATGGGTATGTTACTTCCCGGTTACCCTGACCGAAGTAGGGGATAACCTCGGGGTCCACACCCAAAGCCTTTGGCTAAAAGCCATACATGCAAGATAAGAGGACGGATCTCAGATTCCGCAATTCATTGGGAGTCGGTGTTCAGTTCATTAGATCATGCACCCTTTGGACGGGGTCAAACATCCACGGTGCCTAATACACCTTGATGCCACATGGAGCCGGTGATCACTGTCACAATCGGATGTGTGTTCTTTGTTCACCTCTTCTTGGCTGGTTTGGAATCAGAGGTTTTAGTCTATTCCCATAGGTGAACTGTCAATGGCTCATCAACCCGGTTAGAGCCCCCGGATGTTGGCTTTTCATCCTCTCATTTTGGTGGGGAAACACCTCCGCGAGAAGTTAGTGAGTAGGGCTTTCTCAGGAGAGACTATTTGAGAAGCTTGGTCATGTAGGTGCATTTGGCGGGGTGTAAGGGTAATGGTGACCGGTCACAACCTGAGACATTCACCCCAACCATACCGAGGCTTTCGGAGGCTGCATAATCATCATCTGCACCACCTCCTCGGCGACTCACCAGATTGTAGTACAACTGTTGTTAAAGTTCACCAGTAGCTCATGTCTACCGTCGCCTCCAGGCTTTAGAATCCTCCCATGGAAGGCTTGTGTGATACCAGTCCATCTATTAGCTCGTTTCCAGACCAGTCGGAATGTTTTGGTTAAGCTTGGTTCTACGCCGTATTCAGAGGTATTTACTCAATCGTTTGTGTGACGGCTTTAAAGGGAGATAACATGCATCCTGATGATTCGGATTATGAGTGCTACACCATATCAGTTCTTCCTAACAGTTTAACGTGCTTCTCCGTGCACAAACCGATTAGGTTAGAGTGAATGTAAGTGGAAAACAAAACAAAAATTATTGTTCATATAAACTCTCCTTTGGTATATAAGCAGTGTTCGTTATTGAAAAATAAAGATATTAGTCCCCTAGAGATGGTAGCGAAATTTTGCAATTTCGGGATAACGTTCTTTGGCTTCGGTGTTCGGGATAGTATCTGAAGGCATCATTTATGGCTTGCCAGACAAANAAACTGGGGAGAAAGGACGTGGTTTTGAGCTATATCCTTGCTCGCTTAAAGTAAGTATGCGATTACTCAGCTGGAAATAGGATGAATATAGATTATCGGTGTTCGAACACCGCTGTCTACGTCGCATTGCACGAGTCTGGTGGAGAAACCGACGAGTAATGCTGACGTTAGGCCTAGAGTTTTAGGCAGTCGCGGTCGCCCACTGGAGCATAGATTACGTTGGTTGGGGCATGTGTTGCACATGTCACCAGATAGGTTGCGATGGCGAGCGATGTTTGCCGAGGCAGGTAGCAGTTGGAAAAAGTTCAAGGGTGGTCAAGCTAAGACCTGGCATGAGGGTATGAAAACCCCAACCACAAGACTAGGTCATATAACCCCCGTTATGCTCCCTGGCTGGGGACCGCGAGATCATGGTCACTGATGGTTGGGGACACTGAGTGATATGGCGGGGTGTCACAAACGGTGGAGCTCGTGCATCCTTTCGTTATTCTCTCAGCACCACTCTATATGAATTCTCCATCTTCCGCTTGAATTTGCTTTCAATATTCCAATCTTCATTCTGCTCTGTTATCCAAATTTGGCACCAAGAAACAGCAACGAAAACTGGCACATGAAAGTACATCATTATTGGTTGTAACAACTGAACTGAAGTCAGATAGGAATATCGATCACGTTTACAGCGTTTCACGGAATTGAGTCCAACCTGTAATATGATTGGACTCATGTGTACAGCGGGATGTTCCCCATAAAGTCATACACCAGAAAACCGAATGTGCTCCGGGTCTCGGTGCGGGCTGGAAACGTTGACGGACTGGAGGTTCTCCGGGAAGAGAGTGAGCTGAAAATCTGAAAGTGAGGAAAATGCAGACACCATGAATCGAAAGGTTCAGTGAAACATGAAAACGGTTCACACTCAAACGGAATGACAAGTTACCAAGGTCGTAACACTGTCCCTCCTCACGAAGGAACACGATCCTCAGTGTTGCGGAGCTCAATGTTGCTGGGGGAGTGCATCCTGGCAGAGTTGCCAGAAAACAAGCATAAAGCTAAGGTTACCCATGATGCAGAAGATTTTAGCGCGTTAACCCAAATTTGAGATTTCCTCATGACAGCATGCTGCACTTATTTCGGACTGCTGTATCTGATCGCAATGGGCACTACGTAGGTTCATGCTTATGGAAATTATTCGGTTGGTTGAGTTGATACTTACACGACTCAATAAGTACACGATCTGTAGATGTATGAACTAATTCAGAATATAGGAAACTTTTCTGAGTAGGAAATTCAGCTGTAAATCATTTGATGAAAAACTTTGTGATGGCCGACAAAGACCACTGAACGGCTGTTTCATCCTATTTGGGACTCATCAGCAGTGAGTATCTTTTGTGTCCCCGTGCCAGGACCCGAACCGCGAAACTTCGAGTCGGGCTGCAAACCCATACCCCTGAGCTACACGGTCGACAATCTGGCTCGAGCAATTTAGACGTTAAATCTTTGGATTAGCTTATTTGGTTTCTCACAGGCACCAGGCATTATTAATGAATGATCTTGGGTGTGGGCTTCACTCCTTGGGAGATCGTTAATTCTCCACAATGTTAATGCATTCAAATGCCACGAAGCTCTTTGTAATGACCGGCGATCTCCCAACGAGTAAAACCCACATCCAAGGTCATCAGCAGTGCCTGGTGCCAGTGAAAAACCCGATCAGGCTTATCCAAACACTCAATGTCCCAAGTGGTTCATTTGGCTTCGAAATCTTGTGGAAGTGGATCAGGTGGCAAAGTGTGATGGCCACTCATAAACCCCTCCCGTCTAATGGTCTATGCATCTGGCGCGAAACGTTCACAGTTTTGATCTTTCGTTGGTCTTAAAGAACAAGTAACAGTCCACAGATGTTTTTCAGGGTGAAATAAACTGACGATGAAAAAGCATATTTTCTTTGGTTGAACGCGTCAGTTCTGAGTTTGCACGAAGCGTGCTCGATAACTTACCGCTCCAACTGTGAAAAAAGCTGAGCATGGCTTCATACCGGATCGACTCAGAGGAGAATAAATACGAGTAACCACGGAGGAGTTCAAAGAATTTTAAAAGGCTGATGGGCTCAAACCGACGTACTCTTCTTCGCCAAGTTCACAGACAATTCAGGGAGGGCGAAGAGCGTGAGAGGGTGAAAGCCGTGTTTAATTTGCACTCATACATCGTCACTGGATCCAGTTTTGCCGGTTGAACCTATCAATGAGCTGCCGTTGAATATTCTTTTCTCAGAACTATTTCCGTTCCTAACAGAACCGTCTAAACCGTGGGTCACATCGATTGTTCTTGGTAATTTCAACGTATACAGCGAAATTTGCTCAGATAACTACGTCAAAGTCGAACGTCATTCACTTTAGTACGGTGTAATTGCGTGTGCCTGTGCCTTCTAATACACATATTGTGGGTTTATCAATCTTCCCTTGACGTGCGCATAGCCGTGTATCTTTACATGCATGTGGCTACCAGAGTCCGACACAAGAGCGATTGATGAGAAATAGTTTCGGTTTTCTTCGATATCATTACACCATCTGGTGGATTTCGTTGTGTACAGAACAGATAAAACGTGAAAAGAAAGGCTGGAAAGCAATGTACAGCTGCTTCGACCTGGTTGGGTTTTATCAGATGTCCGGTGGTCGAGTGGTAGTCCATTTGTCTTTATTGTTGATTTGTGACAACTCTACCAACCTAAGGCATTTTGGTGTTTTTTACATCAGGGTTATTTTACTCACTTTTAAAGTTACGTGATAGGCTTGTTCGTGAGTGCTTTTCATGATGAAATACAATAGTTCAAGGCTTGCAGAAGAATTTCCTTCTGTCCCCCAAATTCGCACTGTACGTCGCTCCGCAACCATTCCTAGTCATTCTGTTTTTTGGTACGAAACGCCCCAAATATCTATTTCAACTCTGGCCATTTGGAACACGATAATAAAAATTAGGGTCTGTTTTTGTCTGTGGCAATAATTTGTTTCTGTCCACCCACGCGTTCGTAGAACTATCGTATTGTACACATCCTTTTTGAGTGCACACTAAAACAACCGTTCCCTAGCTATCCGCGAGGAGGAATCCCCGTTTGAAATCATTAGAATTAGTTTGGTGCTTGTGTCTACCCGATAGGTCGACCGAATTGGTTGCTCCTCGTTATTCTCAGTCGGTGGATCAACATTTTCACACGAATACTACCCGCAGTTCACACCCGAAATCAATAAGAGTTGACCTTAAGTTGATTTTCATTTGTACTTTGAATGCTCCTATCATATTTGATAATTGCTGGTCAAATGGAACGCGGTTTTGTTGTTGGTTTTTGTTTCATATTATTGATGGGATCCGCATTGATGCACTTGATTTAATCCAGTTCTCACAAGTGACTCGATTTTTCTTTTTGAATTCCGCGCAGGTCATTGAATGTCAGCTGTTTCATTTTTACTGTCACAACCGTCAAGGACACACATCAGTCGTAGCAGCGTGTACTTTTTCATTGATGCTATACAGCTCTGTCTTTTGCGAACCTAGAGTATGACGTACATGAACTGCTTGCTCGCAGGATTTAATTTCTGGTGATGTGTGCACTCCAAGCAGCACGAGAATGAATCTGCCCTGTTAATCTGAGGTAGATACGGGAAACACAAGAGTTGATACTGTTATTACGATTACAAGAGAACAAGCAACGCTAAATTTCGAGCAGCTAGGTGACCTCCTGCGATGTTTCGGCATGAGCACTCAACGATACGCATGAATGTCACTTTCCTTGGTTGTAGTCGACTTTGTCTTCAAGTCAAAGTAAGCTTTAGTTAGATTGAGGTGTTTTTAATAAATTGCAATATAAATCATCACCTAATGAGAGNAGAGTGGTTGAGAAAGCTCATAATAAAATATGAGTAGTATAAAATTAAATTAAAGTTGAGAACAATGGCTGACCAGGTTACTCAAATACGAGCAAGATAAAGAGGGATGCGATTCTTTCAATTGATGTTACATGTATACAAAATCGTAACTTGGGATCCTGTTTCGGCTTATGATAGACGCCTGCACCGGTTAACATTTTGCATCTAATTAATTTCTTCATTACCTTAGTNACCTTAGTCCACTGAAATCCCCCATTTTTTCTTCCATTCCACCTTCAACTGTTCTCTCTTTCTCCCACTGCTTCATCCCAATGGGTAGCCAAAACCGGCGCACGAAAGCTCATGGTTAGCGGTTGTACAAACTGATACTTGCATCGATCGGTATGCAAATATCAAATTTCACGAAATATGATAGTGTTTATATGCCGTCCTCGTGCGTGGGTGGCGCAGTGGTTTGTTTGCTGTCACTGGCGTGCTCTGGACCCTGTGGTCTGAGGTTCGAGCCCGGCCCCCGCCACCTAACTTTTGGTGGTAGGCAGCTTTACTGTCGTCCGGTGCTGTACCAGACCTGACAGCGGGGCTTTCTATAGTTCGCCACTCAAGTCCCGGGGCTTAGGTTGCCGGTTACCACCTCTGAACAGCAGGTTTTCGCGACTATGAGGTTCGCCCCCGACTGCCGTTCATCACACATTGGTGTGTAATAAAAGAAATTAGGTGCCTAAAAACAATGAAATCTAGCTAATTCTTTGTGTGAATACTGTCGTAACGATGGAGCTCTTTGATAAATGTAGAAGAAGCAGAAACATTTCCTTCTAAGTTTCAAAATACAAGACAGCTTTGCGAATGCCGCAACTCTCAACGGATAAAGTTCGGACAGATTTGGGATAAGAATTTCGTAAAAGAAGTTATTTTGAAGCTAAAACGTAGACCAAGACATTTATCGACAATAGCCATCAGCAATTGGAAAACAGATCAACTGAAACATTGCCTGAAGTTTAGGATAAGTGTCCGGATAGGAAGGAGACCACTGAGCTACTAGGTCACAGATATCTTTTTTACAATATGATAGTGGGAGACGAAAATTCATTTGTACGCAACAAAAAAATAATCGAAGTCAACTTGCACTCCAAGAAAAAAGGAACAAAATTACTCTCTAAGAATTAAGGAATTTTAACATCTCAGGCAGTGGTCGCTTCCGATTAAAAGACTAAATAATAGTGACGAAAATTTAAGATGTTAGGGCCTGAAAAGGATATTGAATGAGTAGAAGCAGTTACACAGAGATTATGGTGTTTCTTTCCGATATTTCAAGTTCACTTCTTTCTAGGTCTCCCAAAAAGCTGCGAGGTTTTTCTAAAATCCCGTTTTAACACTCTCTGAAATGGAAATTTTTCCCAAGAGGTCCGGAATTCGATCTTCATTATCAGTGTTATTGAACGATCCGAAATTTCGACGATACTCAACAAGAATGGATGAAGAATTCGTTATCTCACTGAATTCGAATGAGTAAGCTTCACTTGTTAGGACAGATATTGCTCATGCCTACCAGTCGTCTACCGTACCTCGTCTTTCTGCATATATCCTTTGCGATGGCAAAAATCCTGCAGATGTCAACAGATTATGTACGGACAACGGAGACATAAGTTTCGTAGTAGTCGTAATAGTCGGACATCAGGAATTGCAGTCGCTATCGAAACACGAAGAAGTACTGAAGTAGTACCGAAATTCTGAGGATGTCGTAAGAAGGCCAAAAAAGCGTCGGTTCGTTCATTACAAAACAATTCGTACGAATAACTTATATGTACAAAGGAATGTTATTGACCGAATTATCAACCAAATGTTAGTTAAAGTTCTTCTTCACTCTTGATTCCTGTTTGAACCAACTGTATTCTGATAGGTCCAGAACACTGGTTTCTCATTGGGGTATCTGAAGCTATATACTGTCGATACTTGGCTAGCGTTGTCACGGAACGTTAGATCACCATAAGTGTGCAGATCGATTGGGTAAGGACTGTACAGAAGATTCCGTAACTGATCGGTTGGAGACAGAGAAGAACATGGTTTCGAACTTCAGCAATGGAGATTTTGCTAACATTTCTTATTAGACCAGAATGCTCGAAGAACTATAGATGAACAATTATACACTATTTGTATTCTGTGTTTACCATGCAGGTTTACTTTCCTTTCCATTCCCTCAAAACGCTTCAAATTCTCATTCGCTTTCCGCAGTTGTACGTACCTCGTTTGTCCGAGTTTGACAGTGACCGGTAGAGTTCGCCTCGTTGAATTTTTCTACGATAATAATAGTGATGATGAAGCTGCTGTCACTCAGCCAACCCATTCATACTGGTTCTGATACCTATAATTTTATTCCTCTTACGCAAACGAATGAAACCAGTGTCGCAGAGGGAAGATTTGCTTAATTTAACCGGTCCTCGGGGCTGGAGAGATGTTGACACCACTCGTTTGCCTAGAGAATCTACAGTTTGGGTACCAGTGCACTGCAACTGTCATTTTGAAAATAAAAAAGCAAATGCAAAACTGTGTAGATTATCAAACACGTGACTGACTTGTATCGCCCCCTTGACGACGGTTCAGCACATATTTTGGGGATTAAGTCAAACGCGATGAATTGCGGAAGATACTGGCAGATTTTCTTTTAAGTTCAACCACTATAGTGCCTTGATTTTGAATTTCGCTCTTACTAGAGCTCATCAGTACTGCTTTTCTAGTGCTCCCGAGTATATCGTTGGCTGGAAGAACTGAGGATTATGCTTGAAGCTGAAGTCAGAATGATGATCAGTTCACATCAGTCTCAATGATCGCACACCATTACTCACAAGTAACTGTGAGTTAAATGTGTATTCTATTTGTCCACTCATCCATTTAACCGGTTCGTTTGAATACTAGATGCTATAAACACCTGTACATTTTTATAAATGTTGCTCGGCCCACGAATGTTGGACAGCGCTGATATCAATCACCCATAACTGCGACACCTGTTTTTCTGTTTTCCGCTTTCAGAAAAAAGAACTCGACCGGAGAACAGACCTGGCCAAACAAGCCGCGTTCAACCTCGGCGTGGCTGACGCGAAGCGACAAAAGCAGACTTTCGTTGATCAGACGGAATACCACACTTCGATTTTGCCACGACCGAACTACAAGGAAATCCAGCTGAAACGACAAAGAGAGCTTCGGTAATATTTCCTGTGATATTTCAACATTGTCAGAATAACAGAAAGAAGACAAATGTCGCGATATATTAACATTACGTTTAATTCTTTCAGTCGCTGACTTAAAACAAGCAGGCACACATATATGGCTCATGGGATTGATCAATTTAGGTGAGCAAACGTGTGCAAGTATACAAATATTACTAAATTTAGAAACAGGTCAACTCTACGGTAAGTGAATTGATTGTATCAAACTCTTTTGTGTGCACCAGGTCGGGTGATGTAATCAAATAAACAGTTCTTTACTGATTTCTTGTAATCACTCGACCATCATTATCGGTTGTCTTCTTTCTGTATTGATGAAATGGATGAAAGAAACTCAATGTTCCAATCTCAGATTTTGTGGGATAAAACTGTACAGGCTCGGTGCTACGATTTTCGCTGTTTGCACATAAACAAAACGAACTTCAGCAAAACGTTCGTTTCGCACGGATAACTAAGTTGTAACCAAACAAATACTTTTATTATTGAATAATCTTTCATTTCACAACTGTTTTCTCTCTGGAGGAAGAGAAACTGGAAAAATGCCCACGAAACGCTATCACTAAGATGAAAGATCCACTAGAGGATCGTATACAAATAACATTCGACTGGGAGAAATGACCAGTCGGTTAGTCAGTCAGTCAGTCAGTAGTAGCTTTATGCACCCGGATGGGTGTATTTTCAGCAATTACACCAAATTTGTGGATTCAAATTTACAAAATCGTACATAGTGAACACAATGAAAGCAGTAGATATATTGTTTCTCAATAAAGCAAGCAATTGCGCAATTCTGTGGAAATTGTGTCCTTGTCTATAAGTAGACGTGCTAGATATGGCAGAACAGAATTGCGATAAGCACAGGTACGTGCAAATAAAAGTTTAAATCTGGAGCGTGTGGATGATGTAGATACAGCTTTTAAAAATTCATTGTGTAATGGGTGGTGAGTGTCTGAGAGTATTTTGGCGGCGAAATTTTCACATGCTTGTAGGTGTCTGTCAATGATGGAATCGGCCAGTTTATCCCTGACAATGCCACTACATTTAGAGATGTGTTTTAGAGATCTCGCCAGTAAATAAAAGTCTTTCTTCAACATACCGGGAAAAATTACTGGAGAGCAATACAACCAGTGGAGTAGCACGCATGCATTCACAAATCTAACAATCAGCTTGTGGGGAACAGAAAGTAATCTTAATCGGAGTGAGAAATATGAAAGCTTTCTAACTTTACAGAATGTGTTTTGAACGTGCTGTGACCATGATAAATTGTGTGATAGGGTGATGCCAAGGTATTTTACTATTTTTGATTTCGGTTGATTTCTCTCGTTTAGGGAATTTCAGAAACCATGAGACTACTAAAGTAAAATGACATTGTTGACTGGACTGCTTACGCTTGAATCGAATTGCCTCGATTGAGGGTTTGTCAAACTTCCACTAGGATGGTGTACCATTACGTCCTGTCCTCCGTATGAATGATTTGCTGTGCCACATAGTTAAACGATAACCTCGCCAGTCAAACCAGTTAGAAGGATATCATTGAATTCATCGGTAACCTGTATGAGGAATTTGAAGATTATCGGTAGACGAACGTAAACGGTTCCTCTATTTGTGCAAGTCCAAGATACACTTCTAGTGCACTGAGGCAATATCTACATCAATAAATGAAATAGCGATGGGCTAGCTGCGAATTGTCTGCCGGGCTGTAATTGTCGATTCGTTCGTTTCGAGTGGTAGTCAACATTGTCTCCTGAAGTACTTCCAGCCGCTACGTCTGCGTGTCTGGTTGGATGGGTCCCATGTCTTGATTCGTTCGCTAGCCAGGGCCCTCTTTGTATCACCTTCCATCACAATATGTTTTCATGCTGCTGGGAAAAAGATTGAGCATTTGCCAAGAAAGTTTGCTGAATCCCATACGAAAATATTGAATTCACATTGATCTCGCCTTCTTAGGTGTCTTACCATCACGAAATACGGATGCATCACCTTGAAAAAGATGAGCAGGAAGCCTTGCATAGTAATTAGGTTTTATCGAACTGCACTACGATTGGGAATCCAGTCTTGACTTATATCAGTGACTTACCTTACGTTTGAAGTATACTGATGATATCGCCATTTCTGACTGCTTATCTAACCAATCAAAACTGGTTGAATATAGCACAAACTTATCTCACCTCGTTTCATATTCCAATTCATCCGATCTTAATCTCAATCCTGAGAAATGCCTCGAATGTATTTTCACTCTAAACTGTTCCCCGTCTCCCTCCGACAGGGTTAAGATTCATTGAAAACCGATGAGAAGGGTCAGTCATTTGAATTGCTTAGATGTCCCACTTGAAAGTAATCTTCACTGGTCCCTACATACCCAAAATGGTGCTCGCAAGTTGAAAGTTCTCCTTTTTCAGATAGGAAGATTGCGCCACTTCCGTTCAGACTTGTCGGTGATGGACGCCACTTTACTACTCCCCTGTACTTTTCCCTGGTTTTCTGAAGAATGATTTCAAGTTACTGAGGCGTGGTCTCTCAATGATCAGCCGTTTCTCCCAAGTTCTATCATCTGATCTGATTGGAAATATGTGTAATGCCCAAAATTGTACGTGCTTGAAGTTCGCTAACAATACCCTATCTGATTGCACCCATCCTAAACACATTGACCTGTTTGCATGCAAAACCCATTCCCCCTACTCGTTCTAAGTAAAAAATTATCCCGTTTCGCATATCCGCATACAGAAACTCATTGGTATCCTATCTGGTCCGGATACTGACCGATAAGGACAGTGTTCGTTCTGAGCTTTCTAATGCACTTAGTAATTAACTCATACCTTTGTACGTTTTCACATCCCACTTTTCCCCCTGTTTTTACCAGAATTGTTACGGTGATCTATTTTTTGGCTGAAAACATGTATATGACTCACTAAAGCTTCAATACAATACAATACAAAACAATACAATACAGTAGGATACCATCTCAGTCAACGCCTAACCACTAGAACTCTGTTCGGCAGGCTTCATTGAGATGAAACCGAAAAGAGTATAGAGCATCGTCGTGGAGCATAAATACACTGGATCCTCTGTCGGCAGACACATGACAACCTATTCATGTAAACCCTCGCACAGATAGAAAGGTGAATAGTATTTCATCCACCTGAATCAGAAGAAAATAGTCGGAAAACTAGCTGTGAGTTGAATTCAGTTTTTTGTAAGGTGCACATATTTTGCGGTCGATTTGTTTTACCTCTCAGCCAGTTCTCTTCCAGATGAATAACCAACTTCTAGGAGGTAAACTTTATTTTGTGCATACAAATGTACCGATTTTTCAGTGGAGCTCATCAGTAGTGCATATCAACCGTCCCGTCCGGGATTTGAACTTCGGACACATCGCATGGAAGGCGTATGCGTTAGCACTGTGCCAATCAGCTCATTCCATGGCTGAACCAAATTAGCAATTCATGTTTGTTCAGGTGTCGTCTTCAGTGATAGTTCATTTTGGCCCGACAGTAACGGAGGGAGACACAGATGACACTGTTAATCCCAATCGAAAGCCTCCCACCAATTCAGGACTTCCATGCAGGTACAGATATGCACTACTGATGAGTTCCAATACGAGGGAAACTCCAGTCTAGTGTTTCCGACTGTATGGTTGAATCGATGAACTGAGGATTGCGCGTGAAGGTGAAGTCCGAAGGATAGTTAGCTCAATTCAATAAAAATCAATTTTCCCACACAACTACTCACAAGTAGTTGCAAGTCAAAATGAAAATAATCTGTATTTGGGGATCCTCTGTCAGTCTTGCACTCGCTCACACCCTTGCCTGCACGAACATCTGTTGACAACAGTGACATGGTGAGATCCAAATTGAAAATACCCTTCCCATTAACTTTTCTATTCTCGAGCCCATATTCGGTTAACCATGAAACATACTCTCTTTCGACCAATTTTTAAGATGATCTTACTTTGTTATAATGAATTGGTAAGGTATTCACGGAAAAACATAAATGGCGTTCCCTACACCTCAGTACTTCAGCCAATCTAAAGGATGGTATGCATGGTTTCCATTGTTTTGTGCCAGACAATCTTTTTTCCTTAAAAAATCCCGCTTATTTTGAATAATTCTATCATTCACTCCATTCGGATGAGCTTGATCTTTTTCCATCACCCGTTTTTGTTTCTGTCAGATCAGAACTGGATCGACAAATCGCTCAAAAGGAGACTGAGATAAGTCGGTTGGAAGAGGAAGAACGCACTCTCGGTCGTTTGGAACAGGCACGGTTAGCTGAACAACTCCATGCCGAACGGGAAATTCTTTGGCAGAAAAAGATACGTCAACAGAAGGAATATAAATCCGCACTGGATTTCCAAGTAAGTGATTGTATTTCTCAATAAAGACATGGTGATGATTATTCTATTTCACATTTATTTTCTCTGATTATATATCATACAGTGGATTCTTTGGGGGTTGATGTCTGCTACGCATCGGAGACGTAAATCCTACTACTATAAGACACTAAAGTACATCCGACTTGTCTTCGAGGTACTTCCCCCGCACTTCAGTTGACGACGAAGCCCGTCCATTAGGTCCGCGTGGAATAGACATTGTGCCCAATAATTTCGTCATGGATGAAATACCGGATAACTAACTAAGTTATGTCCAAAATGTGGTTATTTAATTGGTAGCTGGAGAAATGCTGTGCGACCCAGAGTGCGTTGACGACCTCTTTTCCCCGGTTCAAATATATGTAGGATGCGCAAAACGCCCTTGACGGTCTAGCAAGTTCTGTTACTCAACTTCGGCATACACTTTACATCTTCGTAGTGCGAAGTCATGCTGCGAGACTGGGTGTCACCGAGACCCATTCCAAAAGTACTTGGTCAGGATTTATCTGAGGTTGACTGCTTTTCGTACCTCTGGATAGCTGCATGACCAACGACTGTAGCTCATGAAAGGATATAACAGCTAACATTTCCAACACTGGAGGAACGCACACAGGAATAAAGCACATGTGGCGACCACAAGACGCTTCACTGAAGTTGAAAATGTGCTCATACTGTACGACCAGTCCTGCTTTAATTAGTGGATAGAAGACCCTTGTCACCTAACGGTTTTAGACAATCGATGCTTACGTAGTCTGACCCAGGTGCTATGGAGTGAACGGGTTAGTAATCTAGAAGTAAGTTGTCCAGTTTTGGGGAATGCATCGAACAAGAACGCGCTATTTCATCAAATTCAGCTCAATAGACTCCGTTGGTTAGAACACGTGTTGCGCATGTTTAACGGTCGCCTTCCGCACCGCGCCTTATTTTTAGTGTCCGCTGCATACTGGAGAAAGCCATTTGGAGTTTATCAGATGACATGTAGACGAGGCATGAAGAAATGCACAGCGATAATGTGCAGTAGCTGTCTCTTTTCTTCCCGGTCGGGATCCGAAAGCTTCCGTAACTGGATGGTCGGAGACACTGAAGGTTATAGCAGCAAACCGACAGCAGTGGTGATTTTTCCGTCACTTTCTATTGATCTGGAATGCTTGAAATAGTATATGTATGCAAAATTGAACTGTGGACTTCGTGTACGGACCATAGAGGTTAATTTTCTTTGCCTTCCTTAAAAATAGGCCCAATCGCTGTCCTGCTTTCACATTCTTGCTCACGTTGAGTGCGTTATGAGTTTGACAGTGATCCTTGAGATTCGCTTCACTGTATTACACTACAATGATGATGATGCCACTGAATACTGAATTATATATAACATTTTCCTGTTCCTATTAGGAAAACAAAAAAGTTCCTCCTCACCACTACCACTGGTAAACTCACAGTTTTATAAATTTAGCTATTTTTGTTGCATTTCAGGTGTAGACCGAAAATATCTGGCTACTTCACTAACATTTTATGTTTAACTCAAGATCTAAGATAGAAAACTACTACCTCTGTCCAGTAGAGTTCAGTTTGTGCAACCATCAAACATGCATTTCAATGCGCCAGTTTTGGTTGCGGTCTTTTGTTTGTCTATTGGAATGAAGAATAGGAGAAGACAGGAAAGTCAAACGTAGAGATGATCAAAAAATGAAAAATTTCAGTTGTCTAAGGTTGTAAAGGAATGGAGAAGTTACCTCAAAAGGTATAAGGCCTCTGACCCAGATGGGCCGTTCCTATCGGCGTTTAAGTATGGAGGATCAGAGTTAATCTTGGAGTTGATAAAATTCCTGGTTTCAATATGGGAAAGGGAACAGGTTCCAGCTGAATGTTGTGAATCGGTCATCATATACATTTCGAAGAAAGGCCACAGGTCCTCCTGTGAAAACCGCAGGGGAATTAGTTCAGTTAACATCATCTCTGAACTTCTCTCTGGGCTCATACTCCGTCGATTGTCTGCAGCGCGTGAAAGGTGCACGCGTGATAACCAGGTTGGTTGTAGACCCGGTCGAGGTTGTATCAACCACATCTTCACTCTTCGCCAAATTCTGGAGCATGGACATTCTTTTCGTAGACCCACCATCTCTGTCTTCTTGGATTTGTTAACGGCTTTCGACTCACTTGACCGCTCTAAACTCTGGTACTGTCTCTCTCTGAAGAGTGTGCCCGAGAAGTTTATTTCAATATTGAGATCGCTTTATACTAATAGCCGAAGTTGAATCCAAGCTAACGGCATCTTTTCGCCCGAGTTCACCGCGGAAAGTGGTGTTCGTCAGGGTTTCCCTATCTCTCCTTTTCTATTTAACTTTATTATAGATTTGATTAAGGAAACGGTGTCTTGGATACCTTGGATAGAATAACCATACACGTGATGATTCACTCACTATGAATTTTGATCGCTGAATGAAATACAAAGGTACACGTACTAATTTGCACAAGTGTCTTGTTTACAGTTCTCTTCGGTCGTGTACCGAAACCCATTCAGAAGCATTTTGAACACGAGCAACCGTTACTACTATGAAAACTGTACATTGCTGCATTTAAACTATATTCAGAATATTTTGAAGGTGGAGTCTAATGTTGAGCCGAGTTGTGTATGCGTCGCACCTGAAAACATCAAATCCTAGTTCAGTATCGTGCTGTCTCACGCTGCGGCTAATGACGTGGTCGAACTGGGGCATTTGTTGACTCAATAAGAAATCTGCAGTATTCGTTGTGTCAGTGCTTTATGTGTGGCTTGGAACGGTTGTCAGAAAATCAATCAATTGGTTCGAATGTTTCTGATAAATGCATAGCATAAGGATTCTTATTTATAAAATCTGGTGATTAAAATGAATGGTCACATTTACGTATCTCTTCACATCTGGAGGAAATTTTCGTCAGCTGAAAAAGTTTGTTTTAATCACTACGTTATCAATCAGTATGTGAATGTACCATGGATTTACTCGCAGCCAAATATCGGCTATCTTCACGATTCATAAATCGGGCATTTGGACACTGAATGGGGGNGGGGGGGAGGAGGTTCAAATTCAAGACGTCATTGCGAATCAAAAAAAAAATGCCTACTTGTGCAACCTTGTACCGGAGTGATGTCTAGTGATAGACTGATTTGCAAAAACCGAGCTCCGAATCTGAGGCACGGGAACACAAGGCCAGTTCATTCACGTTTACTGATCTGGTAATTAGTCGTGGAAGGATAAATAAATTATGCAATATATATATATATATATATATCGTATTAGGGGCCACCAGGTGAGAATAAACGTTTGTCAAGGAAAAGATAATTCCAATTAGAAATGCGATGAAAACACAATGGAATGGCAACATTAGGGGTGCGAATAAGCTATGTGGAATATTCCATAGTGGGTGATTGTCATTGTTTCACGCAGAGGTCGTGGAAACCAGCGGCTTCATTTGTCCCAGGGAAGCACGGTCGAGACGGCAAACAACTAATGCTGACATTCAGATTCGGCAGTTGTCACGAAATGAAGTGTAATCAAGTGGTCAATGTGGATGATTGACCCGTGTCAAGGGTGAGCGAGTATGGTAGAGACGGTGAGAGTAAGCATGTAAAGGGATATATGCGACGAAAGAGTCACGTTGGAGTTGAGTGGCACAGTGTAGGGCAAAGTCAATAATAATTGTGGAGTATCCCAACGGTGTATATTCCTGGATCAGTGCTTGAATATTGGTGTCTACGCATCATTGCATGAGACTTGTAGGGCAACTTTGCGAACATTGCTTAGGTTAGACTAATAATTTTCCATAACTGCGGTCGCTCGCTGAAGGAAATGGTCAACCTCTATCAATTACTTCGGTTGGGGCACGTGTTACGCATGTCACCAAATAGGTTACCACGGCGCGCTACTTTCGTCGAGGCAGGTAGTGGGCGGAAAAATGCTAAGGGTGGTCAAACAAAGACCTGGCATGAGGGGATGAAAACCCAAATGAGGAGACTCGGTTATATAGGTCACGTTAGGTTCCCTGGATAGGGACCTCGGGATAGTTGTTATCAGTGGTTAGAGATACTGATTGATATTGCTGAGTGTCGCAAACAGTGGCGTTTGTGCACCTTCTTAATTTCTTTGCAAACTTAGTCAGCTGAAGTTCTCCATTTACTATTCCACCCTATTTTCAACTTTCTTGTTTTTTCTCCTAACACTTCATCCAAAGGGACAACCAAAAGATAGCAACCAAAGCTGGCACACAAAGTGCATGATAAGCAGTTGCTAAAACTGCTACTGAATGAATCTAAGGCCAGGAGTATTTCAAGTTGGCGTGCTGAACTTCAAACGAGCTATGTAGATCTTTGCGGGTGCTTAGGGAATGTTCTGCAAGTTTAACATCACGTATCTGTCTGATCACATTAAAGTGAGGCCCCAAGTGGCTGTTTAAGAGGATGCATGGGAGCGGAATAACGGCAAGTACGAACCGGCTTAATGAGTCACATCTACCAGGCGATGTACACGAGACATTCCATCCTTAGTCCAAGGTTAATAAAAGACATCAGGTCACAAATTATATCGACGATCACGGCGATTGCCATTTATCTTTTTGACCCTCCGTTACTCATCTAAAATTAGTTTGTGCAAACTCTATTCTATATCCATAGACGTCTGCTGACGTAATTCCTTCTCGTTGACTCATCCTTATATGAAATTCTAGCTAGATAGACTTTTGCATTCACATCTTATCCTCTCTTAATTGGGTTCTCTGTAAAACGTGTTACATTTATTCAGTCACTAAAGCACCAATACTGTATGCTTCCTATTCGATATTCTCGTGATCAACTTTTTATTTGATAGTATTTTCTCTCGTGGTTCACTTCGCACTTTCTGCAAAAAATTCATTCTCAGTGGTGATTTGCATTCAAACCTTTCTCAACATCGCCTATTCACATCAAAGTCATGTTTCAAGCGACCATTTCTTACGTTCCATTGATCTCATTCCAGACAGTCTGATTTACATAACCTGTATTCGTTTTTCCGTATCACAATGCAGTACATCAGAAATCCGCTGAACTGCAAATGGACTCTTCCACGCCATACATTCTTTTGGAATTTTCTCATCAGTGAGTATAACTGTCTAAAAACACGTTTTCTATGTGGCAAGGCTAGTATTTTGACACCCAAAGAGAGAGAGAATTCAGTGAAATATCCAGGAACTCACTTAAAGTTTTCTATAGCTAATTCATCAATAATCGATGAATACAGAGGGAAATAGATTTCATTCATCTGAAAAAAATAGGAAAAAATACATTTGTTATGAACTTCGATCAAGTCGATGCCAAAACAGCCGCTGGTCATTTGACCCAGGCCAGATCTGTTTGACATGGCACTCCCAATTGGTCCCCTTGCAGTTCAAGGCCGCATAGTTGTTCCGAGACTGAAAGACAATAAAGTCATTAAACACAACTGGCCCAGGGCAGTATCTCAATGACAAAGACAAACTACTCTAGATTGGTTAATAAAACGATAAGGACCATTAAATTTATTTATGCTAGTGGGCGATTTTCGATCTGGCTTCTCAAAACCTGCATGTTCCCGTGCAACATCCTTCAGAGGTTATTTTTTCCGATGAAGCCCACGTCTGACATTATCGCTTGTCCCGTTCATTGCACGAGGCATTCAACTATTCTGCCCTGCTCACCTTCAGCCAAGCTCCTCTTCAGCTTACTCAGATCGCAGTTCAAAAATCCTCTGTATGCATTACTTCCGTTTTTATTATTAGTCTTTTCCGACGCATGTCGATCGCTGTGAGACTTCGTGCCGCTTGTGTTGTCACCTAGTCAATGAAACAGAAAAAATTCGTTCCAAGGAACAGTTTCTTTCTCTTCAGCTCGCGAACCAGTGTGATGCAACGAACAGTGGGTGTAAAACAGTCAAGGGCGGTCAAACGAAGACCTGGTATGAGGGTATGTATGTAAGGGTATGTAAGTTCTAACTAGGAGGAACAGATAGATGATCAATAGATAGGAGTAGTCTCTGTTTAGCTTCAGTTCCTGGAGGTACTATGGGAATTGCATGTTAATCAGTAGTTTGTCGGTTTAATCCAATTCTGGATATCACGTTATTTTTCAATCTCCTTCTGAAACGTCTCACATCAAGACAGTAAGTATGTAGATATGTTTTGTACACTTTATGATTTTGGTGACCAGATTCTTGGGGAATTCAATTGGAACACATTAAACTAGTGGTAAGTAATGCAATTCGGGTTACTGTATTTCCTCAATGATGAGGAATAATTGTCCGAATATACTATCCATACCCATTGTGAGAAAACAAAAGTGGCGGTGATTCTTCTACAGGCTAATACATCACAATTTATATCAAACTGTTTGGTAGGGGGAGAGATCAAGACACGTTGGAACGAGATAATTAACATTCCAGTTCCATGACCGGATGATGTTGTTCACACTTTGGTCCTCACACGTGCTCATTTGTTTGGGTCATTAGGGGCCGGGGGGAGGGGGATAACTGTGTCGTGTGTGGTGTTGGTCATGGAAAACCGAGTGTGTTTTTACGAATTGTTTTAGGGAGTATAGGGAGAATTATGTAGGTGGATTCCGATCGTCTCCGCTTCCGCCAAAATGCGATTCCTAGTTCAAACGCCTCGGCCACATGAACTATGTGGTTTGATTCCACTAGATGTGAAACGTTTCACACACGATACAGCCATCCCTCTACTTGCCCCTAACGACCCAAGCAAGTGCGCATGTGTAAGGACCAAAGTGTGGATGAGGAATAACTTTTGAATTTTGCTTCTGCCTCAAAACGGACTATGATTCTCTTCCTCGTAGTTCAATATCCGGATTGTTTTGTTTCTTTGAATTCAGTTGCGTGATTTATTAAATTGCCATAGGCAACATTGTCATAGAAATTGGATCAGTTACGCTCCTTTCGTGTTTTTCATTCTAAATGCATTTACTTCCTTGCTCATGTGAATTGCTCAGTATTGCCTCTAAGTCGGTAAGTGAGCCAAATTTTTCATCCTTTCGTTGAATGTTTTTTTCTAGTTGAACATTTGGAATAATACAGCAATATTGGGCTTTCTGTTCGGGTTCCTTTACTGTCATCCGAGATGTGTCCACTTGCATTCTTCAGCGATGAAAAGAACCCCGCTACAGTTATCGCTCATTGCACTTTATGCATCCAAAATAGGCGTCATCCATACGCTTGTTCGAACTTCACAGAAATTGCTGATATTTTCCCGTCAGTTACTCCACACGTTCACCTCTGTCGTGGTTCTCACAGGCCTTTTCTATTCACGGTAGCTGAAATCCTCATTCAATACATCATGTGCTGTGCAATTCGCATGAGCTTAGCTGCTCACGTTTTTAGGCCCCCCCTCCCCCATCTCAGGGGAGCAAGCATCAGTATTATTATGAACATTCGGTTATCTCCTCATTTTGCTACTTCTGCGCGATTTGATGAACGCACATGTTACGATTGATAGCTGAGTTCCTTCTAACGTTATTTTCCAATATTTCGAGTAAAATTCCCTGACAGTTCGTCACCGATTGCGCTGCGGTTAACCGTATGACTAAGCACCCCCTTGTTTGTTTCTGTGACTGTTCATCCGACCAGGTCAAACATAAACCCGACCCGATCCCACGAGCTCAGGCAAACGACGGTGCACCAATATTCGGTGCGCATCACTTTGACCCCGTCAAATTACGCGAGGCTCGTGAGAGGATTCAGGCTGTTCATCAAGCCCAGTGGACAGCTGCCCAAGAACGATCGGTTCGTGATAAAAAATCGAAGGAAGACGAATTCGTACAAGAATGTGATATGTTGAAACGAGTTCGCCGCGAGTGAGTACTTCTTTTTTCACCCCTGTACAAATGATAGGCTGTTGGAAAACTTCTTGTAGACGCATGTAATCAAATGTATACAAACGTCACCAGTGCGGAGACTGCTTTAACTGAGATCAAAATTGAACCTCAACAGTTAAAAAATTACTGGGATGAATAACTAACGTTTTTTAAGTAAACTGTGTTATATACAACAGGTTGTATTCTTCTACGGGACAAACCTGACATGCTATATCCCACTTTCCACAGAATGAGACTTTTGTCAATGCGTCCCAGGCGAAGCGGGGGCGGTAACAGGATTATCAATGCAGAGTGGAACAAGCCTTTTCTCTTGTGGAATGTGATCATTATCGTCCAGGTCATATGTGACCATGTCACCGTCTGTTTAGTTGCAATTAACTGAGAGTAATGCAATCAAGAAGCTTGCTGTAAACTATCGATACAAATTAGCATGAAACTACCGGTTGGATTCTCTTGCTCATTGACCCGT